CCCCCACCCCCACCCCCCCGCCGCCGTTGTTCTCCCACCACTCCCCCTCCTTGTGTGTGAAACCGATCCATCCTCTCATTCTGCCGCTCTTTCTCTCATCCTCCATCCCTCGCTCCCTGCGCTGCACGGCGTTTGTCTGATCAGTCTTCCCGTACACCCGATCGCAAGGAGCGCAAGGCCAACTCTGCGGGGAAGAAGAGGAGGCGCTCACCCTCACCGCCCAGCACTCCTGCTGAGTCCCGCAAGAAGGGAGGAAAGAAGGGGTAAGGATGCCACTTTCTCATCTTCTCTTTTATATTCAGATGTAGAGCCAAGATTTAAAGGCTGAATATTTGTCTTTTACAACTTGGTCTGTGAATGATGAGGGATAAAAGCCAAACTCAAACAGATACTGTGTTACTTCCTGTCCTGAACACACCGTTTCCTCCTCAGATTGTACCTGATAGACAAAAAGGTCACCAGTGTGTAAGCAGCTCTGATACTCAACTTATGGTTCGTGGGCCAAATCTGGCTCATGACAGGGGGCCAGGTCTCCCAGCACATTCTAACTCACTCAACATAAACTGATTCAACTGAAACTTTTTCTCATGTAAATATGGTGATAAATATTACGATATCAAAATACAGCTGGTTTATCAAACAGGGGCCGATCAAGGGGCCCCAAATATCCTAAAATACTACAAGCACCCCTGCATACACCTTACCTGTGCAAGACTGCTGCAACTGGCCCCTGATCTCCTGTCCTGTCACTTATGTGGCCCCTGGTCTCCTGTCCTATCACTAACGTGGCCCCTGGTCTCCTGTCCTGTCACTAACGTGGCACCTGGTCTCCTGTCCTGTCACTAATGTGGCCCCTGGTCTCCTGTCCTATCACTAATGTGGCCCCTGGTCTCCTGTCCTGTCACTAACGTGGCCCCTGGTCTCCTGCCCTGTCACTAACGTGGTACCTGGTCTCCTGTCCTGTCACTAACATGGCCCCTGGTCTCCTGCCCTGTCACTAACGTGGCACCTGGTCTCCTGTCCTGTCACTAACGTGGCACCTGGTCTCCTGTCCTGTCACTAATGTGGCCCCCGGTCTCCTGTCCTGTCACTAATGTGGCCCCTACTAATAACACTGACTTGTTATGGTCTGTACAGCTGAATGTCTGAGACACGTCCACTTCCTATGTCGTCTCACTGACTGTGACTCTGTGTTTGGTGTCAGGAACCCGGGGCCTCACTGGAAGCGTCGGGGCCACAGAGGCGAAGAGGAGGACACGGAGGAGGACATGACCAAGGACATGGACGACTCTTCAGCTGGTGCCAGCATTGAGGAGGGCAGCATGTCTAAGAATGGTACGTGCCGGGGGAGGGGCTAAGATGGACTCTTCCTAATTGTCAGCCTGATCATGCTCAAGGTGACATCATCCCATCTTTACATCATTCTGGCAAACAGTGACATCATCCCATCTTTACATCATTCTGGCAAACAGTCCAAAACTCAGATTGATTTAAATATAATTAAGTTGACGGAGAGGAGGAGACATGAGAAGGAGGAGGAGGAGGAGACATGAGGAAGAGGAGGAGGAGACATGAGGAAGAACCTTTGTAACAGTAACAATGATAAGTTGTTAATGTGACATCGAGCTGCAGCCAACATATATTTGTCATATATTTATTGTATATGTATCATGAATATATTATCATATATTTCTTATATATTAATCATATATTCTAGGGCTGCATGATAACTTTTCTTTTAAACCGATACCGATAACACACACACACACACACTTATGTATGTATATATATATATATATATATATATATATATACATATATATATATATGTGTGTGTGTATATGTATATATATATATATATCATGACATCAATACTATAAACAAAACCAAAACAGTTTTGACCCTTTAAATGAAGAGATATTTATTTTATCCAATGAAAAAATATTGGCAAGCATCTCAAACATTTTTGAAAAGATATCAAACAAAAAAACATTTGATATCTCAAATGAACATCAATTTAAATAAGGTGCATTACTTACTGATATAATAATAAAGGCCCCTTGAACTGATGCAAATACATGCATCGGGATTACAAACTGAAAAAGTTCATTCCAGAAGTTCAAAAAAATAACTACATATAGAAAATGATTGCACTGAACAAGTTAGATTCAAACATTTCTATGTAAACACAGTCTGAAAATGTGCGTTCTTAAACAAAAATAATAATGCACTGACACAAGTTAGATTTGTCTATGTAAACAAATTAATAAAGTGCATTCCTCAATAACAATAAAAAATACTGACAAGTTAGACTTGATTATGTAAACAAACTGGAAAAAGTGCATTTCATAGTAAAAAAAAAAATAAGTTGAAAGGATTTTGGCTTATTGTTCCATTCAAATGAATACTTTTTCACTAAGGTAAATGAGGTTCAGTTCTTTTATCTCATATTAGAAGAGAGAGACAGCAGTGAGTGAGTGAGTGTGCACGTCTGTGTGTGTGTGTCAGAGAGAGTGTGTCTGTCTGTGTGTGTGTGAGAGAGAGAGAGACAAAAAGAGAGAGGGTTCTGACCTGATATCGCACCGTATTCTCAACACTCAAACTTTTGGTTCCTTAATGACTTACAGGGGAACTATTTATCTAGCCTTGTACCTCTTGATGGATCAGGGCAAGATTTTTTTTTAATGAAAAGCAGTGTCTCTGCCTTTTCGCATGCAAGTCTGTTTCTTTCCTCGGTCATCACGTGTCTAGCAGCAGAAAACAAGCGCTTGCTCGTTCACAGCAAGTTGTAAAGAGTGGGCCATGAAGCCGAGGCTTGCAACACCGCACTCATTCATTGTCTTTTCCAGATTACGCGCATTATCTCGTAAGACAACATGCACCATCTCCTTCTTAATATTCCACTGCTGTGGCATAGCTTCAAAAGTCCGGTGAATCATTGTACCTGTGTGTGAGCCAGGCAGCTCCTGGGACTGCAACACCGCTCTGTATAGTTGAAAGTCTGTATTTAACCACTGCGCGGTCAGACTCATCATGCTTACAGGGCTGACATCAAAAGTCCATATATCCATGGTGAAGTTTATGTCTTTCACGTTGTTATCAGTCAAAGTGTGAATACATTTAGAGATCGCATCATACTTAGCTGGAAGGCACACATCAGAAAAGTAGCGGCGACTCTGCATTGTAAACCGTGGCTCCAAGTGATTAATCAAACGAGAAAAGCCTCTGTCCTCAACGAGGGTGAAGGGCTGGTCATCAAGCGCCATCATTTCCATGATTAAATCTTCAATAGCCTTAGTCCGTGGGTCATTTCTGGCAAATTTCTTTTACTTTTTCGAAAGCCTCGCCGATGTGTGTAAGTCCCAGTGGCTTCTTTGCGGCTGGCTTTAAGTTGCTAGCGTCTTTAGCAGCCCCGGCGTCCTCATATGCTTTCAATACTCCGTTGAAGCAATGGTTATGTTTCAGGTGACTGATCATGTTTGAAGTATTGAAGCTTGTGCTACTTTCCCTTCCTCGTGGAACTCGCTTGGAAAATTTGTTACAAATAACCAGCAAGCTGTCTTGTTCGGAAACTTTGAGAAGAAGTCTCACACAATCGACGACATCTTCTCTGTTTTCAAACATAAACATGCTGACGCTGTGCTGCATGCTCGTTGTGCTGCATTCACGGTGTGACGGAAATTCCCTGTTCCCACGTTTGCTAGTCGTTCTTTCTGCCTTTTTAAGTTCATGTTTCTATTGTTTATGTGTAACGTGGAAAAATATTGTGGATATCAATTCAAGTCAGCAACTACCAAAATTATGACCGAGTTAACGAGTTGTTTTTCCGACATAAGGGGGTATTCTTGAATTTTCCCAGTCAGAAAGAGTTTTTCTGATTATGCCGACGTCACTTGAACGCAGCATATACTGCAGACCATTCAGGTGTCATAGTGGGAGCGGGCACTGCCGTGCTGACAAAATTATATATGTTATCGGGGCTATTCGTCGTGATATTGGACTTATCGGAATGACGTAATAATTTCCTGTTATCGTGCACCCTTAATATATTCATTATATATTTATCATATATTCATTATATATTTATCATACATTTCTTAAATATATCAGCCAACATATTAAATTCATACATTTACATGGTAATTATTAGTGAACCTGATCGGAGGCCGTCTCCGTCTGAACAACAACATTCTGTTTCATCTGATTTTTAAAGGTGTGCAGATTTTTTTTCTTTTGACTCTTGTTGTTTTTACTCTTGTTGTTTTTATCTGAGTGATGAACCCTATTCATTCATGCGTTCATTTCATGTATTTATTATAAAATTAATCTGTGGTGTGCTCTCTGTCTGGTATTGTCTGGGTGGTTCCTACACACTGAACATCCACACAGTTCAGAAGAAGATCCTCAGATTGTCCCACCGACACTGACCATCAGAAAGCAGCCTGTGTTTGATTTTATTAACAATCAGAGGTTCTCTTTAAAGATTATCATTAAAACACACACAGTCCTGACTGAAGAGGATCTCTGTAGACCAGGTCCCATCTGGTTTGTCCCTCTTATACAGAAACCTCCTCCCCCATCACAGTCTGTGTTCCACAATCCTACTAACAAAACACAGTGACAGTTAATACCTCCACCCGCGGCAGAATGCAGCCATCAGTACCCCGGTGCGCTGTCTCTGTTAAAATTATATTTATAATCTTATTTTTTTCAGCAGCCGACTTTTTAAATCTTTGTTCTGTCGACAGCAACTTCAAAGAAAGACAGTGAGAACACTCCAGTCAAGGGAGGGAATGTGGCCGACCTGGGTATGTATCAATAACTCATCTGTTCATTGACGGATCGATGACACTGATCAATTCCTACATCATTTATATTGATCGATTCCTACATCATTTATATTGATCGATTTCTACGTTTTTTCAGTGTCAGTATGTCTGTCATGTTTCTAAACTAAAATTAGTTCTTCTGTTTTTTCCAGATGACATGGAGGATGACTCTGTGGTGTCCGGTGGAAAGGTAAGATGGCTGATCTCTGTAGGTGGAGGTAGATGGAGACAGAGTAAGATGGCTGATGTCTGTAGATGGAGGTAGGTGGAGACAGAGTAAGATGGCTGATGTCTGTAGATGGAGGTAGATGGAGTGAGAGTGTATCGCCAGATGTGGTCAGAGTGACATCACGTCAGTTCCAAGTCTCTCTTGACAGTTTAGTTTTCTGTCATATGAACCTTAAAACCTGAATCACTAAATGTGACGTTAATGAAACGCCGACTCGTCTGCACTCGTCACTGTCATCACCACTCATCCAATCGCAGTGGAGAAGCGGCAGAACAAACACAGCAAAGATCAGCTATCACAGAGGATGAACACAAGTGCTCAACAACACCGGGCCCTCACACGGCCTGACAATAGTCCGACCAGATAAAAGCATAACGACCAAACGGTCGACCAGAACTTTACAGCCCTGCTTGTCTCACGTGTCATTAGCATATCCACACACCTACCTTTAGCTCCAGAGCTCCTCTGGTCTTTATTTCCCACTACACTGGTGGAGGACGGTAGCCTGGGGAAACCATCCTAATTTTGCGAGCTCATATTCGATTTCGCTCCACAGATCGGTCTGGCCATGCAGTCATAGAGGCGCATTCTGGCATTGGTTAAAGCTTACCATCACAACTGTTTATTACTTTGAGGCGGGCACATCATCAGAATAGGAGGGACAAGGAGCAGAGTGAATGCATTTCATAAACAACCAACATGGCTTCTGATTTTGAAACTGCGATGGTAAATGTGTTGAAAGAACTGGAACGTACATTTTCTTTAAAAGCAGAACTAACGGCTGCACTGAAAGCTTTTATTGAAAAAAAAGGATGTGTTTGCCGTCCTTCCTACAGGGTTTGGTAAAAGTTTAATTTACCAACTGGCTCCATTGATCGGGAAAAAGATGGGACTCAGTGAAAACCCAGTGGCTATTGTTTCTCCGCTAGTTGCTCTCATGGAGGAGCAGGTCAGGGATGCGACCAAGCTGGGAATCACAGATCACAGCCATGCAACTCAGAGTCCACAATGAGGAGGAAATCCGCAAAGATGGCAACACTCTTTGCCAGACATCATCACAGCTCATCTCCACTGCAGCTTGCTGGTCTGTTTACGGTGGTGTTGTGCCAGCCTACGTCACACGTTTCGTTTACTCTGATTGGTTTTCCGTCTTTCCAATTGCATGAAGGGGCACTTTGAGTGACAGCCGTTGATACCGCCCCTCGGGGATAGAGGAAATGTACACTCCATGCCCAGACCCATTCGCGTTTTGCAAATTGGGTCTGGCAGCGCCAGGCTAGGAGGAAGGTGGAGTTCTGTGAAAATATTTTTTCCAGCATGGAATATTTCTGGAAGATCATCTTGTGTTGGTGTTGATTGAGGATGTTGGTTTTTATTTGCATCGTTTGGTGGCTGACTCTTTGTGCAGGACGAGGAGGAACAGGGCAAAGCTGAAATCAACCGACTGATGGACGCTGGCGAGGACAATGTGACTGAGCAGACTCACCACATCATAATCCCCAGCTACAGCGCCTGGTTTGACTACAACTGGTAAGTGCTGAGGAATGACCATGGGTTTACTTTTCAGATGTCTCTTGTGTTGTAGTTAGGGATGCAGCGAATATTCGGTAACTGAATATATTCGGCCGAATATTGCAAAAAAACACACATTCGGTATTCGGTGGAATAAGTTAAAAGCAAGGCCGAATAATAGCGGCGTGTTTTGATAACGCAATCAAACAGCGTGCCGTGACGCGCGGAGTAAAATGTCAGCAGTGTGGCGATCCGTCCCTCGCTGCACTCGCATTTGCGACTAAAAATAGTTTTGAGCGAGCAAAATAGGCTTAAATCATAGAAAAGTGATTTATCTTTTCATAAATGACAAAAGGCACATCTGCCTCATTTTCGCTGTGGTATTGTGATACTAGTCAGAACCATGATATTTTCATTGGTATTGTACAATGGAATCCAATTTTGGTACCGTGACAACACTAATCTGGAGGGGGTTCATCTGCAAAAACTGATGAAAAACTAAACAACGATATTCGGTATTCAGTACTTGGTATTCGGCCAAGCGTTTAATATTATTCAGCTTCGGCCACAAATGTTCATTTTGGTGCATCCCTAGTTGTAGTGAGAACAGAAGGCCTCGGACTCCTGTACATCTGTTTTTTTAGGGTTGGTAACAACACTGATCTTTTTATTCATCTGAATAAACCACAGTTCAAGATTAAACACTGGGTCATATCAGTCTGACTCATAGGTCTGAGAAGAACAACAGTTACAGCAGGTCACAAGGAGTCATTTTAAATTTTTGTTCTGTTTCCTGTCAGCATCCATGAGATCGAGAGAAGAGCTCTGCCAGAGTTTTTCAATGGAAAGAACAAATCCAAGACTCCAGAGATGTGAGCTCATACACAATTTTACAAATGACACCAAAGCAGACGTGTTTCAGAGGTGTGGTTTTTGTATGACGTGTTGCTGCAGACTCACAGTAATAGATTATCTGTCATGGTGGTCTCCAACAGATACCTGGCTTACCGTAACTTCATGATCGACACATATCGGCTGAACCCTCAGGAGTACCTCACCTCCACCTCCTGTCGCAGGAACTTGACTGGGGACGTCTGCGCCATCATGAGGTGAGCAAAGATTTGTATTTATTTGTTTTTATTTTCCAAGTTGTGAATTTTAAAACATTTCTGAAACGCAAACACAGCTCCTCCTGGATAACACATCAAAAATTTTGTTTGGGTTCGGCCCACTTGACATACTGCTGTGTCTGTAGGCTATGGCCTATTCACAAGTGCTGGAATTTACTTGACAACACCTGAATGCCACACAGTCTCCACTCCAACTGAGTGTGTGTAGCAGCGTGTTTTACTGTGCGTAACAGCAGTCTTTTGATGGTCATTGACTCACTGTCCATAACAATAACTATGTCAGGTAACAAACTGCGTGCGTGCGTGCATGCGTGCATCCGTGTGTGCCGAAACTCAGCCATGTGCGATACAGAGAGCAAAGGAGAAATGTAAATGCACGACCATGTAGAGACAGAAACGACATGCCGTCATATAAACAAGATAAAAAACATAAGGCTATTTAGTTAGTTTAATAAAAGGTCAGGGTATAGACCTGTTCTACAGGAAAGGTGACCTTACATGACTTCTGTTGTGATCTGGTGCTATACAGAAAACAGAGTTAGGGTTAGTCTTCCTGAAAGAGAGATTATTATGAAATGATGGTCCTGGGTTAGTTTAATTCCACAGCTGCTGCTTCTTCTGTTACTCTAACAACTGTTTTAGTTTGATAATGTGACATTGGCTGTGGTTAGGGTTAAAGTGAAGATAACCACAGCGATGTGATGTCACAGACACGTAGTTAAACAGACTACAAACATTTAATGAACTGAATTAAAGTATATTAAATGTCCGTGCTGTGTGTCTCCAGAGTTCACGCGTTCTTGGAGCAGTGGGGTTTGGTGAACTACCAGGTGGACTCTGAGAGCCGCCCATTACCCATGGGACCTCCACCCACTCCTCACTTCACCGTGCTGGCGGACACACCATCTGGTCTCATGCCCCTGAACCACAGACCCCCACCGGTAAGGACAGCTAAAATAAACCTGAGGGAGTGATGGAAGAAAACAGACTAAAACAGAGCTTCGCCCATTCTGGGTTTCATTCTTCTAGATTCCTTCTCAGCAGCCGATGCCCAACTTTGCAGACAAAGGCAAAGACAAGGCCATCGACCTGCAGAACTTTGGCCTCCGCACCGACCTCTACAACAAGAAAAATCTGAAGGTCGGCACACGACTCACTTCACAACATGTAATACGTTATGTGTGTAATAATTAAACTTGAGATGATGGATGAAGGAGTAAACAGGAAACAAGCCTGTCAAGTAGCCTTTTGTTCTCACTCATTGGAGTCTGTCAATCAAAATAATTTCAAACCTTTTCTAATTCGTGTTCTCGTAGTTCTGTCATCAAGCTTTATGTGATCATTTGGTTTTGGTTCCCTGCAGGGTAAAACAGGTAACTCCACCAGGGATTGGACGGAGCAGGAGACTCTGCTGCTGCTGGAGGTAAATCTCTTCTGATCACTCAAACTGTTGTTCCATAAATACTGATGGAAACTAAATGTGTTAATCTCACTTGTTTCATGTCGTTCATCTGTATCCTCTGTCACCTCTCCAGTTTGTCTCCTTCCATTCTCCACACCTCTTGTGTCTCTTCTGTACATGTGACCGTTACTCCTCTTATGATGTCAGATGACTCCTTTGTGCCCGCCTGCGATCATCTGTCCTTATTTTTTCTCTACAATTGTCCTCCTTTCCACAGTACATAAGCCTCCTCCTTACTTCCCTCCCTCCCTCCCTCCCTTCCTCCATCCATCCATCTGACCCTTCTGTCTGTACGTCTGTCCTCCCATCTTTCAGTCTCTGTGTGATCTTGAACACATCTTTGACAAGATAATATGACTCCCCTTGTCTCTTGCAGGCCCTGGAGATGTTCAAAGACGACTGGAACAAAGTGTCTGAGCACATCGGTTCACGCACCCAGGACGAGTGTATCCTGCACTTCCTGCGGCTGCCCATTGAGGACCCATACATAGAGAGCACTGAGGCGGCCCTGGGCCCTCTGGCCTACCAGCCCATACCCTTCAGCCAGTCTGGAAACCCAGTCATGAGCACTGTCGCCTTCCTGGCCTCTGTGGTTGACCCCAGGGTGGCATCTGCTGCCGCCAGAGCAGCTCTAGGTACGGCCAGTTGTACGCAGCAGCTCTCCAGATCAACATATGCACTCACAGTTGATAGAAGAATAAAAAAAAAGAAAACAATAAAATTAGTCAAAGCTTGTGAGCTTAAAAACTATATGTGGAATTAATAATAAAGAACTCTACATTTCCCTACCCCGAGTCTTAAAGCTTTAAAGATTTAAATCTAATCTAATGGTTGTGTTCTGATTACCTCAGAATGAGTCGTTTATATCTACACAGGAAGCAGGTCCTTGTCTACAGAGATCACCATGTTGCACTGCCATGTTTCTACAGTAGCCCAGAACGGACAAACCAGACACTAACTATAGATAGAGACATTCATGTGTTCATAATCTGCAGCTCCTCCAAATGAGCAGCATCAAAGAAACACTGACAGTGTTTCCTGGTGTAAATGAGCTGGTGTGTGTGTTTCTGAGAGGAAGAGACCTCTGTGGATAGTTCAGCCCCTGAACATCTGGATCTGAAGTTAACAGAGATAAAGGGTGAGCACACATGAACAGGTGCTGAGCGAGCGGCCTGTCTCAGACAGGAAGAAGAGACCTCTGTGGATAATTCAGCTCCTCAGCAATCAACACTGAAGGAATTCTGACCAGGAGAAGTTTCAGCTGGTTGTAATCTGTAATTTGTAGTCCTCCTGAATCTGACACACTGGAGTTTTAATAAAGATAGACAAAGAACTGAGGCCATATGGGAACACCTGGATTAAATCAGTCTCTAACAGATCAGTGTCTTCTCAACTGTCCTCTGTCTTTCTGCAGAGGAGTTCTCCCGAGTACGTGAGGAGGTGCCAGCTGAGTTGGTGGAGGCTCACGTGAAGAAGGTGCAGGAGGCGGCCAGGAGCACAGGGAAGGTGGACCCCGCCTTCGGCCTGGAGAGCAGTGGCATTGCAGGCACCGCCCCAGAGGAACCAGAAAAGACTGGTTAGTGTTAGAAACGGAGCAGGAACATAGTTTCTAACAGTAGAAGAAGAAGCAGAGCGTGTTGTCGTGTCGCATACAGTCTCATTACTTGTAGTGACACCTGCAGCCACCAGAGGGCAGCAGATAGTATCAGATTACTGCTGAGTGAGATGACATGTTGGTGCTGACGGAGCACTGGACATCATCATCTCTTCTTTTTCCTCCATCTTTGAATTAACATGACGCTGACACGATGAGTCTGTGTCGTTTTCATCTGAAGATTAGACACATCTCAGTTTGTTCCAAGGGGGTGGGGGGCTTCTGAGCATCATATTGCTGTGGTAACCAGCGGATTAAAAACAACAGTGGCAGATGGGGAGGAGGAGGAGGAGCAACTGTAAACTGGGTCATCACACTGTGCTGATCTCTTTGTGTTTCATCCAATCTGAGCTCCTTAAAATATTTAAATCACACACGAGTTGTTGGTTTCCCCTCATTAACACTTCCTGAGATACAGCAGTGACTGAAAGGGTTGAATATGTCGCCTGGACTTAAGCACACACACACACACACACACACACACCACACAACACACACACTCAGTCAATATTAAGACCATTAAAGCAGCACTTACCTTTCTTGCATTTCACACAGCACTTAGAAAAAATTTGAACATCCACAACTCCTGCCTCCCTCCAAAGTCCCATCCCCCACCTCCTGCAACAAGGAGAGCGAGTGTTACATTATAACCAAGACAGTATAACGTAACCCCGGAGTTTTAAAACTCAACCAGAGTCAGTGATGACTGATGAGTTTTAGAATAAGGATACAGTGCTAACATTAGATAGTAGCCTTAACGTTACTAGTAAGTGGAAACGCACAAGGAAGATAACGTTAATGTTTCAGAGGCTACGCCACAGTAGGCTAACGTTAGCCATTAGCAACTGGATGCTGTGTTGTCGTTTAACATTATATGTTATATTGGAAGCAAACTAAACATAACGTTACCTGTCCTGCACAGTCAAACGCAACCCCGAGTTTTGAAACTTATTCGGGGTCAGTGATAACTGATGAGTTTTATAATATAACATAAGCACTAGCGTTAGATAGTACTGGTGACTGGCAAAAAACATAATACAGAGGCTCAAGCTACAGTAGGCTACAGTAGGCTAATGTTAGCCATTGGCAACTTGATGCTGTGTTGTCATATATATATAATGTTATAGCCTATGTTACATTAGAGGCAAACTAAAAATACCTGTCCAGCAGAAACTCTGTGACCATCTCGTCCCTTTTTAGCTCAGGATGAAGCTGCAGCAGTCTTTGCCATCGCTCGAAAGCAGAGCTGACGTTGACCCGAGTTTTGGCTCTTGCAGCATCGAGTTCTCGCTTAGTGTTAGAAACTACAACGTTTACCAAACAGCTCTCGTTAGAAACTACAATGTTTACCAAGCAGCTCTCGTTAGAAACTACATTTACCAAGCAGCTCTCGTAAGAAACTACGTTTACCAAGCAGCTCTTTAAGAAATTACAATGTTTACCAAGCAACTCTCGTTAGAAACTACAACGTTTACCAAGCAGCTCTCGTTAGAAACTACAGTGTTTACCAAGCAGCTCTCGTTAGAAACTACAATGTTTACCAAGCAACTCTCGTTAGAAACTACGTTTACCAAGCAGCTCTCGTTAGAAACTACAACGTTTACCAAGCAGCTCTTTTAGAAACTCCGTTTACCAAGCAGCTCTCGTTAGAAACTACATTTACCAAGCAGCTCTCGTTAGAAACTACTACGTTTATCAAACAGCTCTCGTTAGAAACTACAACGTTTACCAGGCAGCTCTTTTAGAAACTCCCTTTACCAAGCAGCTCTCGTTAGAAACTACTATGTTTACCAAACAGCTCTCGTTAGAAACTACTATGTTTACCAAGCAGCTCTCATTAGAAACTACTATGTTTACCAAACAGCTCTTTTAGAAACTACAATGTTTACCAAGCAGCTCTCGTTAGAAACTACAATGTTTACCAAGCAGCTCTCGTTAGAAACTACAATGTTTACCAAGCAGCTCTCGTTAGAAACTACAATGTTTACCAAGCAGCTCTCGTTAGAAACTACAATGTTTACCAAGCAGCTCTCGTTAGAAACTACAATGTTTACCAAGCAGCTCTCGTTAGAAACTACAATGTTTACCAAGCAGCTCTCGTTAGAAACTACAATGTTTACCAAGCAGCTCTCGTTAGAAACTACAATGTTTACCAAGCAGCTCTCGTTAGAAACTACAATGTTTACCAAGCAGCTCTCGTTAGAAACTACAATGTTTACCAAGCAGCTCTCGTTAGAAACTACAATGTTTACCAAGCAGCTCTCGTTAGAAACTACAATGTTTACCAAGCAGCTCTCGTTAGAAACTACAATGTTTACCAAGCAGCTCTCGTTAGAAACTACAATGTTTACCAAGCAGCTCTCGTTAGAAACTACAATGTTTACCAAGCAGCTCTCGTTAGAAACTACAATGTTTACCAAGCAGCTCTCGTTAGAAACTACAATGTTTACCAAGCAGCTCTCGTTAGAAACTACAATGTTTACCAAGCAGCTCTCGTTAGAAACTACAATGTTTACCAAGCAGCTCTCGTTAGAAACTACAATGTTTACCAAGCAGCTCTCGTTAGAAACTACAATGTTTACCAAGCAGCTCTCGTTAGAAACTACAATGTTTACCAAGCAGCTCTCGTTAGAAACTACAATGTTTACCAAGCAGCTCTCGTTAGAAACTACAATGTTTACCAAGCAGCTCTCGTTAGAAACTACAATGTTTACCAAGCAGCTCTCGTTAGAAACTACAATGTTTACCAAGCAGCTCTCGTTAGAAACTACAATGTTTACCAAGCAGCTCTCGTTAGAAACTACAATGTTTACCAAGCAGCTCTCGTTAGAAACTACAATGTTTACCAAGCAGCTCTCGTTAGAAACTACAATGTTTACCAAGCAGCTCTCGTTAGAAACTACTATGTTTACCAAGCAGCTCTCGTTAGAAACTACAATGTTTACCAAGCAGCTCTCGTTAGAAACTACAATGTTTACCAAGCAGCTCTCGTTAGAAACTACTATGTTTACCAAACAGCTCTTTTAGAAACTACAATGTTTACCAAGCAGTTCTCGTTAGAAACTACAATGTTTACCAAGCAGCTCTCATTAGAAACTACTATGTTTACCAAACAGCTCTCGTTAGAAACTACAATGTTTACCAAACAGCTCTTTTAGAAACTACAATGTTTACCAAGCAGCTCTCGTTAGAAACTACAACGTTTACCAAACAGCACTCGTTAGAAACTACAATGTTTACCATGCAGCTCTCGTTAGAAACTACAATGTTTACCAAACAGCTCTTTTAGAAACTACGTTTACCAAGCAGCTCTCATTAGAAACTACTATGTTTACCAAACAGCTCACCAAACTTATTATTATGATATTATTACTTTCATTAATGTTGTTGTAAGCTACTGTCATTACCATCAGTCCTGCATCTCTCTCTTTCTCTCTCTCTCTCTCTCTGTCTCTGTCTCTCTCTCTCTCTGTCTCATTGTGTCATACGGATTACTGTTAATTTATCATGCTGATCTGTTCTGTACGACATCTATTGCACGTCTGTCCGTCCTGGAAGAGGGATCCCTCCTCAGTTGCTCTTCCTGAGGTTTCTACCGTTTTTTTTCCCCGTTAAAGGGTTTTTTGGGGAGTTTTTCCTGATCAGCTGTGAGGGTCATAAGGACAGAGGGATGTCGTATGTTGTAAAGCCCTGTGAGGCAAATTGTGATTTGTGATATTGGGCTTTATAAATTTGATTGATTGATTGATTCATAGAAGAAACTATTAACAGTTACCAACAGCTCTTGTTAGAAACTACGTTTACCAACATGAATGAATGACTGAATGAATGTATGAATGAACGAACACAGTCTCAGCCTGCTTCACGTGTGGTGAATAAACCAGTTCTAGTCTGTGACTCGGAGCTAAATCATGTCCAACACTTGTGACCTGCAGAAACCAGTGAGACAGAGAAGTTGGAGACGGACTCAGACTCCCAGCAGGCCGATAAGGTAAGAACACCTGTCGTATATACCTGTGTGTTTGAGTGGGAGGATGTGAAGTTCTGCTGATCAAAGGATCAAACTGACATTAATTATTATTTTTCTTATTGTCAACAAATCACACGTTAAGACTGAAACTAATGAGACGTCAGTCTGTTAAACTCAGATATTAAAACTTTTATCAAAAACACATCTTTAAAATCTGGTCCCAAGTATGAAGTTTAGTTTCTTATAAGCAGACCGAACCCTCTTCCTCTGTCCCACTTTGTGTTCTGGTTTGGAAAGTCCCGGCGGCTGGATGTGACTTTCACACCATCCTCGCTCTGCTGATGGCGTTCTCAGTATCGTTCATTAACCGGCATCAGACACTGAGTCCACATCACACTGACTGACTGTCCCCAAAAAGTGCACAGGGTCACAATACAACCTATTTCCTATTGGCCCTGAACGTCACAGCGTTTACCAGCTACGACCTCAGACACATTTACCTGTCGTAGCTATTTACCTGTCATAGTTATTTACCTGTTGTAGTTACCTCAGATACATTTACCTGTCTTATTTACCTGTCATAGTTTCTGTACCTGGATCATCTTTGAGGTCTGTTTTTTTCTTCGTCACATTTCAATGGTCTCACGTCATCGTGTCTTTGACTCGATCTAAAGTCAGATCTCCAAATCAGACTTGCAGCGCGCGTCCTACTTCCTCTGGCATTGACACATTGTGTCTTCATCCTTCAGGCGGAGTTGAAGGACGAGGCGGAGAAGCCCAGTGAGTCTGCAGAGAAGAGCGACAAGATGGAGTCCACAGACAAGGTGAAGAAGGAAGGGGCGGAGGCGTCGGAGCGCGAGGAGGAGAGTGAAGACGGAGGGGAGTCTAAGACATCTTCAGCAGGTTAATGATAATAATAATAATTAAAGCTGCAACCAGCGGTGAACGGGCCCTCGCACAGCCAGCTAACACGACAATTCGATTTTGTGATAGTAGAACACTGCACGCATGGCATGTCCTTCATAAAGTGTGGGCGCTGGAATGGCCTATTTCACATTTAATACAATTTCCTCTTTCCACTAGAGGGCACTGAAGAACACACTCATGATATGTCATGATTTTGTTCATCAAATACTGACCACAGCATTTAAATTTGAGGTAAATCAAAGTGTCTGATAACACCTAGTTCCTGTTGCCACTAGGTGGCGCTATGACTATCAGAAAATATGGTCATTTAAATGTGTTCAGGGCGGGACTAATATGAATCATATGAAGTTTGGTGGAGGTCGGACCATTTACTTCCAAATTAAAGCAATGACGAGACCTCAGAATTTAACACTCCGCAGCGAGTGTGCCATTCAATATTGGGCATATCTTGTTATAACTTTTGACAGAGATTAAAGTTCTCTGGCACAGCACCAGATTTCCGGCATGGCTTAGTTTCTGTCCGGCACGGGCAGAAGTGCTCTACAGTGTGAGGATTTCGTTCGCATTTTCCCCAAAAAATATAAATATGTGTGAACCGGGAAAATGATTTAGGCACACAATATGTGAGTAAAAACAACCTACTGTTTACCATAATCGGCATCAGACGTTTTTTCATTTCACTGATCAAATAAATGTGTTTTAAAACTCGCTCCTCTGGCTCTGATACAGCCATCTCCCTCCCTGCCTGCAGTACCCACTGCACTGAGCTTTGTAACAATGTCCCGCCTACAGCCCCCTCTGATTGGTTACACCTCACAAGTGATAGCCAATCAACACTGATGCCTGTGCATGCTTTCACATCATGTCACATTGAGAGACAGAGCACAGACGGAGCGGGAGAGAAAGTTGCACAAAAAATGCTCTATGCTGAAGTTTTAAAGTCACCACAACGTTATATGATCCATGTCAATGATGACATGCTTGCCCAGAGGTGAAATTTTGACGCAACTGCCTGTTTAATTCACATCAAGCGCGATACAATTTTGCAAACAGCCTAAATGATTTAGCTTCTAAAAATAAATAGCACCAAGGCAAAAAAGAGATGTAGGAGCTATAAGTCAGTCTGGTAACCACTGAAAGTTTAATCTTTATTTATAAACTCATTATACTATAAAAGTTTAATCTGAAAAGTAAGGACTAAAGCTATAATCTTTTTGTTAGTTTTAATACTAAACACGTTTCTTTGCAACACATACATTTCTATTTCTTCATTTTGTGACCGCAACACCAAGCCCCCCGCTCCGGAAAAGATTTCAGATTTGTTAATGTAGATTTAACCCCTGTTTTGATCACAAGGTAGTCAGGCTCACGTAAACCAAGTCTGAAGCCAGGGAGATTGAATCTGTAGCACATATTCGTTAAAAAATGTGTTCAGGGTGGGACTAATATGAATCATGTTAAGTTTGGTGGAGTTCGGACCATTTACGACATCTATTGCACATCTGTCCGTCCTGGAAGAGGGATCCCTCCTCAGTTGCTCTTCCTGAGGTTTCTACCGTTTTTTCCCCGTTAAAGGGTTTTTTTGGGGAGTTTTTTCTTATCCGCTGTGAGGGTCATAAGGACAGAGGGATGTCGTATGCTGTAAAGCCCTGTGAGGCAAATTGTGATTTGTGATATTGGGCTTTATAAATAAAATTGAAATGAAGAATTGAATTGAATTAAAACTCAACACGTGGGAAACTTCCTGTTGGTTTTAGGCGATGGGTTCAAGAGACTTTTTTTCTGCATCTGGGCATGATACATGTATGTACTGTTTTCTTTGCCTGACAGTGAAACGTGCAGCAGGGGCTGCTCTTTAAGGGGCCGTTTTGCTCTGCCCACCAACTAAAGCCATATCACATGTAAATTCACAAGGCGACTGAAGCGCATGCCAAAATTAGCGCGTTTTCGAGTATGTTGAAACCCCCAAAAAGGCAAAAACGAGGAAAAATAATGATTACTCCTTAATATTTTTAACAGGACCTATACATGTACTAAGTGGGGAGATGTCAGAGTGAAGGGCTGCCTTGGATAGGTGCCACGAGCGGTTGGGGATTCAGTGCCTTGCTCAAGGGCACTTCGACAGTGCCCAGGAGGTGAACTGGCACCTCTCCAGCTACCAGTTCACGCTCCATATTTGGTCCGGACGGGGACTTGAATAGGCGACCCTCCGATTCCCAACCCAGGTCCCTATGGACTGAGCTACTGCCGCCCCAATAATAATAATAATAATAATAAAAATGATAACAATAAGCTCAGAGCTCATTCAACAGCTCAGGTTCACAAGAAGAGTGTTACTGAGCTCTGAGCGTCAGGGGGACATTTAAAGACGTTTACAAAATAAATAATCCCATATGCATGGCATCTTTTATGACGTCCAACAAACAACAACCCATCGTCGTTTAATCATCTCTAAAAATCTCCATCTGTTGTCTCTCAGACCCTGGACCGCCACCTGCACTGTGAAATCCTCTAGAACGAGACAGTGTAAAAAAGATACTTTTTAAAATCAGAAAACTGATTTTCTTCCGTGGAACAACACGATCGATTGTTTGATGATAAAGAAGAGCTCACTAATTCCACCTGTGGAAACTTCACCTTTTAACTTTGGTGAAGAAGAAATGACATAGGTCAGCAGCTACATATTCGTCCTGTAGGTGGAAACTTTACCTTTAACCCTTTAAAAACAGACGGCTGCAGACGATCGAGTGTTAACTGATCCTGTTGAAATAGATCTAAAAGAAGAATTTTGATTCTTTCTGCAGCAGAAACCGAAGGCTTCTATTTCACCGCCGTCATGATGTACACTAATGACGTCCTTGTACCACTTGTGATGTGGCGCCAGAGGAACAAGGAATGCTTTCTCAGTTTGCCCATAAAAATGATCATAATGGGGAATAAAATGTTTTGTGTTTTTATTTTGTAAAACCTGATGAAAACAACATGTCAGTACTATTGTCAGTTATTCTGGTTTATTGACTTTCACAACCTTTTAGCTCAGGTCATGCAGATTTTAGAGATATAAAACTTTTCTGTCGCAGAGTTCAAATATTTAAAACCATGCATGAGCGCAGAGCCACGTTTGTGTCCAGAGCTGTTAAATTTCTGTCTCGGTTCCCATCAGACAAAGACAAGGAGGAAGCGATGGAGACGTCGTCCTCAGAGCAGGAGAAGGAGAAAGAGGAGAAGGCAGCTACAGAGGAGGGAGATGACAAGAGGAAGAAACTGGAGCATGACATTGGAGAAGGAAACATCGCTACTGCGGCAGCTGCTGCGCTGGCGTCTGCCGCCACCAAGGCCAAGGTGAGAGTACAACACACATTGTGACATCTGCCCAGTGCTCACCTGATCTGTCTGTACGGTATCACCACAGCAGAAACTGTCACCGGGGGGGGGGGGGGGGGGGGGGGTTTAAAAGTTGGACATGGATCACATGTTTATGGGTTGTCTGCGTCCACTCAGCACCTGGCAGCGGTGGAGGAGAGGAAGATCAAGTCATTGGTGGCTCTGCTGGTGGAGACCCAGATGAAGAAGTTGGAGATCAAGCTGCGACACTTCGAGGAGCTGGAGACGATCATGGACCGAGAGAAAGAGGCTGTAAGTCAACAACCAGCTGTGGTTAAAGTTCTGGTCCTGCGTTGACCCAACACAGCTGCATTAGTTTATTAATAATCAAGAGGAAGTCCCGCCCACTCACTCACATTTCAGGAGGTGGGGGCGGGACTTCCTCTTGATTAAGAGCAGAGCGGCACATGCAGTTTGTTAACAATTAAGGTGTTGTGTTTTTGGGTGACCAGAGGAGTCGTGACAAAAAACTAAAACTGCACTAATAAGACAACAGGGGTGTCCGAAAAAACCGCTAGCGACATGGCACTCCCGTTCTTAGCTAACGTTTGTATTTATTTATGTCGCAGCGGTGGACATGGAACAGCTGACTGATGGAGGCAAGATGAATTATCTTTCAAAAGCTTTTTATGTCACTACAAAAATCCAAATACTGAAACTTTCACTCTGAGCACTGTGTCCTGCTGCTGGGCAAATCCTGGACACACCAGAGACACTGTAGGACTCTGTCTTTATGGTAGACACACCAGAGACACTGTAGGGACAGTCTCACAGCTGTAAATAAAGCATGAAAAGACGGGTTTAATGAAGCTTTCTAAAGACATGTCAGTTTTAGGTCTGTGAACGCACTGTGTCCTCTCGTCCTCCAGTAAAATGTACCGACTCTTCAGAGGTCCGTGAACGCACCATGTCCTCTGGGTTCAGGTGAATCTGGTCATGGAGATCATTGAAGATGATGGCAGGTCAAACTTTGTTCTGTTGGAGGTTGATTTATCGGTGCAGACAGGATCTGACATAATCGTTAATGGCGGATCGGGGTCAGATAGAGGTCGATCGCTGTGACCTAAGGTGGTCACATGGGAGCCAGAGTACGTCTCATACAAAGACAGGTCATGTGTGTTTTAAATAACGTGTTTGATTTAAATAAAGTTAATTAACAATTTATGTCTTCATCAGGCCGTAATAAACAAAATATGATGATGTTTTTGTTTTGGTAACAAAGATGTCCACTGTAATTTCTCCAGGATTAAGTCACAAACATCACGCCTGCAACAAGCGTGAAATTAATTTATGATGCGTAGAAATAGTTTCTTTTTTCTCTCTGAAAATCACATTTTTGACTCCTAAAACAGAGGTCAGATTCGCACCACGATATCGACCAATGAACTTTAGAGTGGGCGTGGCTTAGCACATAAACAGACCTAACTCCACAACTGTTGAGTCAATCATCACAAAGCTGAAACGAAATTGTCAAAGAGGTATCAAGAACATAGTTTCCTTTAAAACAGCCACCAGGGGGCGCGACAACTGCATAAACTGGGTGCGGCCTAACACAGACCAGACTGTCAATCAGAAACTGTTTCTCCACCCCTAACCACGCCCCATATGTTTAACCCTGCCCCTTGCATATTTTAACCCCGCCCCTGACCCCACCATAACTCCAAATGTTGAGGATATGTTTAACATTAATAATGTTAACCCACGTGTGTTAAATTATCTTGACAGCAGTCAGTAGGGGGCGCCACCTGTTCCAAACAAGTGCATATGCCTTTCATATAAATCAATGACATCACCAAACTCACTGGATATTTTTAACCAACTTAATAAAGCATCACTAAAGCGCTCTGCGTTCGACCAACAGGAAGTCACAGTGTTTCCAAAGATGGGCGCGGCCCAGGAAAGATCATGATGTAATCGTGTTCCTACCATGCTGGCTTTATTATCGTGTTGGTTATTCTGTTTCCTGTCCATCTGTCCGTTAGTCCTCTTCCTGAGGCTTCCTCCATCCGCCAGTTGAAGGACAAAATCAGATGTGATTCTATATAAGTCGGCCAGATGCTGACGGTTGTTCGTGTCATTTATTTTATCAAACATCTTAATGGAATCATTTTTGATGGCGTTTCCCCTTTTGTGCAGTTGGAGCTTCAGCGGCAGCAGCTGCTGACCGAGCGCCAGGCGTTCCACATGGAGCAGCTCAAATACGCCGAGATGAAGGCAAGGCAGCAGATGGAGCAGCAAGCCGCCGCTGCCGCTGCCGCCGCTGCAGCCGCTGCCCAGGCTCAAGGACAGGGACAGGCTCCTGGATCTGGACCCCACTCTGGGCCCCCTCCATCAGGCATGCACCCTGGAGGGCCCCCACCACATCACGGAGCACCACTGCCCCACCATGGAGGGCCTCCACCCGGTGCCGCCATGCATCCCGGATACCCCCCCATGGGTCACCACCCCATGGCCCCCCACCACCCAGGACAGACAGGTGAGACACGGACAACAGGTGGAGGCAGTCCATACTGATCCTTGGTTAACGCGATGCAGACACAGCAGGTTTACAGTCAGACTTCTGGAGCGTTCAGAGTTCAGTAACACAGACAGGACGTTGTGGACAGACACATTCAGATTGCTGCAGCCTCGCAGAACCTTCAGATCATGATGGGACAGAACAACCAATCACAGCTAACCTGAAAACACATCACCTTTAACTTGTCCTTAATGTAGCGGTGAAACAGTTCATGATCTCATGATGTATGTTCAACAATCGGAGGTTTTCCTGACAACGCAGAGAAAACGTTATTATTTATCAAGTGTCTTTGTTTCTATTTTTATCTGGTTCCATTTGACTCCTGATGACATCCTGCTCTTCACAGGACCGATGGGACCGGGTCAGCCGATGCCGGGACGGATGATGGCTGGACCGCCCTCCGCTGGCCCCCCTCCTGGTGGCATGCCTCCCATGATGCCCCCACGCCACCCTGGAGCTCCTAACGGCATGTGTGAGTACAGATCTCATTGTGTTTGGTTAACATGTTAACTTTGTGTTTGTTTACATCAGATTTAAAGGTTTTGGGGGGGAAGTTGTGTTTCCACCTTCAATTCACACAACTAGTCTGTGGTTTGCTCGTTTCTCCACCATGTTGAGTCCACAACCAATCAGCAGCTGAGCTCAGATGTCCATTCAACAAAGGTTTTTTTTTTTTTGCATAAATGCTTTGTTGTGTTTGTGGTTCCACCTCTGCTGTCCTTCTGAAACTGTAAAGATACGAAAAGGGAGCTGACATCTCATCTATCTGGGTTAGTGTATCAGCCGGGTCAGGGTATCAGCAGGGTTAGGGTTCAGGTTGCGTTTCTGGGTTCAATAATCAAGTGAAAGAAAACCCTGACCCTGCTGACCAATCAGAGCTCATCAGGACATTAAAAGCTGCTTTAGTCTTGATAGTTGAGTTGTTATAAATCCTGTAGAAGTAAAGATAAAATAAGCCACGCCCCCTCAGCTGTTGATGTAGCTCATGATGTCATGTAGAAACATGTTGATTCAACATGGCATCACTATGTTTACAATCATATGGCGAGACGTTAACCTTCACATGTGACCAGTGAATTTAATGTTGCGTCACTATTTGAACTGGAACCATGTCATCAAACATGACATCATCGTTGACAGATCAAACAAAACAGGAAGTTTTTACATTTTCAATTTACAATAAAAATGATTTTATTTCTACAAGATCTGATTTTGTTTTTTTATTATTATTGTTCAACATAAAAAAAAGTCTGAGTTGTTTAATCGTCTCTAAAAATCTCCATCTGTCATCTCTCAGACCCCGGACCGCCACCTGCACAGCCCGACGCTGTACCTCCTGTTCCTGTTGGTCCTCCAGTGCCGGCGAGTGGACGAGGGGCCGACAACTGAAACACACACACACACACACACACAAAACTAATTCTGTCTCTCTGACGGCCTCCGCTCCATTTGTTTCCTTTATCATCATCTTCATCACACACAAACACACACTCAGGGGTAACCCAGTACACACATGCAGACTTCCTCTCAGGGCGCAGCGGCAACGGTCGTCACAGTGACTGAGGTCATGTAGTAATAAACACTGTCTGGTCACACAGAAGCTGAGGAGAAAACGACTGGACTCAAACAACAGAAACTCTGTCTCATCTTTTTCCTCTTTCCAATGACACTGTAAGCCCCGCCCCCACGCCAACTCTCCATAACACACACACACACACACACACACACACACAGGTGATGATGTGAGCCCCGCCCCTCTTCTGTCTTGTCGAGTATCTACCTCTCGCTCCTCTTAAAATGATACACTGTACTGTCTGTGTGTGTGTGTGTGTGTGTGTGTGTGTGTGATGTCATTCACTCGTCTGCCTCTGATGTCATCTTTGGTCAGGTGCAGACAGGTGGTAGAAGGTGGGTTGATGTTAATACAGATGGAAGGATCTGATTGGCTCTCGACTGTCAGCTGCGTCGTTTCCTGCTGAAGATTCAAATCTTTAAAAAAAAGTGCCAGAAATACAGAGTTCGATTTTTCCTCAACAGCTGTCGACTTTGTCGAGGATCATTTTTATTAATCAGCTTAATCAACACACACACACACACACACACACACACACACTCTCACACTCAGACATGTAGACTAAGCTGAGGCTCACACTGGAGGCTGCGCACGCACGCACACACACACGCACGCACACACACAGACCCCCCGCCCCCCACGAAACACTGGACGGACACACACACACACACACACACACACAGGTATAATCTCCTGCTGACCTTCACACACCTGAAACGTGACCACATGAGTGACGCTCTTTGCTCTTCGTCGGCGCCATGGGCTTCTAGATGTTTTTAGGTGCTGATACCGTAGCGACTAACCCCTCCCTCTTCTCACCTAGTGTTGCCTACCTCGCTAACCCCGCCTCTCGTACACACACCGTCACGGGAAAACTAAGCAATATCCTCATTCCTGTGTTTCAGCAACGAGAAGCAGTTGTGACTCAGCGTTTAGTCTTAGAGTTCCACGTCTGGTGATGTAGTGGAAAAAACTGGAGCTAAAAGTGGACAGCGAACGCACTGTGCTGGTCATCTACGATACAAAGAGAAACTTAACAAGATGTTTACAGACGTCACGGTGACCTTCAGGAGTCTGTAAGAAGCACATGTCACTGAAACAATGATCCGAATTCTGATTGGTCAGAGGATTCATCAGCTGATTTTCAGATAATGAAACAGATTTTTGTTGAACAAATTAAAAGTTCATTCTTAAAATCTAAGTTCGTTTCCATCAGTGACATGAATTATAAATTTTCCCTTAAGTTAAAGATGCATGTCGACAGCAACGTTCAGTCGACACAGGTTAATGATTACGTGGTCGTAACGTGAAACTCCTCCTCTTCCTCCTTCGCTAGCACTGTTAGTATCTCTGCTACCTCTTCTTGTTTCACCTGCTCACCTGTTCACCTGCTCACCTGTTAGCTACCTCCTCTTCTAGAACTCTTCCTCCTTCTCTCTGCTACCTCTCTGCTCACCCCTTCACTACCTCTCCTTCACATTTCCTCTTTTTGTTCCCGCCCACGTGACTGCGACATCACTGACTGTTGTCATTCATGGCGCCCTCCCTCCACCCATCAGGATGGGCGCCCCCCCCCCCCCCCCCCCCCCCCCCCCCCCCCCCCCCCCCCCCCCCCCCCCACCACCCCCACATATTTACCATCTTTAATGATATGTTTTGTGTTGATGTATTTTTAAGGACGAGTTTTGTGTAGATGGAAGTTTGTAGCATCTGTTTTCATTTTGTATTTGGTCTGTTGGTACCTGGACCTGGACACTGTCGAATAAAATGTTTTATATGAACCTGACGGCGTGATTTGTTTTTATTGACAACATGATGTGTTTTATTTAATTTACCTGAACACAGAGAAAAATGATGATTTAAAGTCTGGTCGACTGTGAATCAGTAGTTCTGTGGTTTCCTCTGCATTTACGTTTAGTTCACACACGGCGCCACACGGTGCTCTGAATGGAGAACTGTGTGGGACTCGCTGTGTGGGACCCCCTGTGTACGACATGCTCAGTGTGACACGTGCTCAGGGTCAAAATAAACGGCCAATATTCAGTTTTCATATAGAAAACATCTGTTTCTGGTTTCTTATTGAAAACCCATCATTAACTGCAGATTTGACTTGAGACCGCCTGTGGACGCTTCAATTAAATGACTCGATCAACGTTGTTTTCTGTGTCAAGGGCCACCTGCTGAGCCTTTCAGCCACGTGTTGACCGCTAACATTATGACACTGTGATGGCTTTTTTAACTAAACTATGAAATCTGACTTTGACCACAGCTTCTCGCTGCGCTGACGATGATGTAATTTACACACAGGGATTAAAGTTCTCCGGCACAGCGCTTGATTCCTGGCATGGCGAAGTTTCTGTCCAGCACGGGCAGAAGTGCTCTGCAGTGCGAGCATTTCACTTGCATTTGCTCCTAAAAATATATATATATGTGTGAACCGGGAAAATGATTTAGGCACACGGTGTGTGAGTAAACACAACCTACTGTTTACCATAATCGGCATCGGACGTTTTTTCATCTCACTTATCAAATAAATGTGTTTTAAAACTCACTCCTTTGGCTCTGATACAGCCATCTCCCTCCCTGCCTGCAGTCTCCACTGCACTGAGCTTTGTAACAATGTCCCGCCTACAGCCCCCTCTGATTGGTTACACCTCACAAGTGATAGCCAGTCAACACTGACGCCTGTGCATGCTTTCACATCATGTCACATTGAGAGACAGAGCACAGACGGAGCGGGAGAGGCTCCGGTAAGCCAGAGGTAATTTTGAAAGGTAAGGTAACAGAAACGAAAGTTGCACTAAAAATGCTCTATGCTGAAGTCTTAAAGTCACCACCACAACATTATATGATCCATGTCAATGATGACATGCTTGTGGCGACCAGCACCTTTAAGGACACACCTCTCCTGCGTCACGCACGCACACCAATGGGATGAATGGCTGCTTAAAACAAGATGGCGCGAACTCACCGGGTGACGCAACGAGGAAGAGGCTCAGACCGTCCCAGTGTCCGCGTTCCAGTCTGTCAATCCCTGGCAGCGTGTAAAGTCCGCCATTTCTTTAGTCCGCCTGCTTACACCATCCAGATTCACCCTTTCATCCCGCCGTTCCACCCATAAACTGCCGTTTCAACGCCCTGGACGACAATTCCCAGGGGCCTGCTGCCGTCTTCTCTGCATCAGAGCGCTGTTTGAAGGGGAGGTAATGCTGGTTTGGCTTTCATGTGATGCCCTGACAAGTAGGAGGTCTCACTCGTGACACTTTTGGAGAGACTCGTTTTGAATAAACATTGACTGACTGGGACGCGGACACTGGGACGGTCTGAGCCTCTTCCTCGTTGCGCGTCACATGTTCCACGGGGACCCCCTGGCTGGCCACCTTGGCAGGTACAACACCTACAAGAGACTGCAAGGTCTGGTGTATTGGCCTCGAATGAGCCTTGAAGTCAAAACCTATGTGCAAAACTGTCAAGTGTGTCAACGCTTCAAACCTGAGAGCCGGAAAGTCGCCGGGAAACTGCAGCAGACTGTGGTCAACCAACCCTGGGAGATGCTGGGGGTAGATTTGATGGGCCCCCTTCCGCGGAGCTCTAAGGGAAACGTCTACCTATTGGTTTTTGTGGATTACTACACCTGGTGGGTGGAGCTATTCTCCATAAGAAAAGCAACAGCTAAAACGATATCACGAATACTCACCTAGGAAATCCTCACCAGATGGGGTGTACCCAACTACATCCTGTCTGACCAGGGAAGCCAGTTTGTCTCCTCTCTCTTCAAAGCCATCTGTGAAAAATGGAGCCTGAAACAAAAACTGACCTCAGCCTACCATCCACAAACCAACATGACGGAGAGAATAAACCAGACATTAAAAACAATGATTGCCTCCTATGTAGGAGAAAACCACAAACACCTACCTGAGTTCCGTTTTGCTCTCAACTCGGCAGTCCACAAATCCACTGGAGTCACCCCTGCTGAGCTGAACCTCGGACGGACCCTCCGAGGACCAGCCGATGCCTTCCTCCAGCCAAGGGATGCCACACCCGACTCATCCAACTACAAAACAATCACCAAACTTCAGGACCTCACTGAGTTTGCCCAGTCTAACCTCACCAAAAGCAGAGAAAGACAAAAACGAAATTATGACAAAACTCACCGAGATCAAGCATATCAGGAAGAAGACAGGGTATGGCTCCGGTCTTATCCATTATCCAAAGCAGAAAAATCATTTACCGCAAAACTTGCCCCCAAGTGGCTCGGTCCATACCGTGTTGTGGCCCAGGTGGGTCCAGTGAACTACGACATTGTGATGGAGGACAGTGGAGAGGACAGGAAGGTGGTGCATGTTGCACGGTTAAAACCCTGCCATCCCACTGCAAAGGAGATAGATGAGCTGAAGAAGCGGCACCTCTTGGACATCTTTAATGAGGAAAGCGGCCTTGAGGACTTTCTGGGCTTCCCTGCTGACCCACCTGCCTCAGAGAGGAAACTGGCCACCACGGAAGAAACAGACGATGAGGAGGATGACGATAGGAGACGGAATGGCAGCCTGCTGGTATGCAGGGTTTTTCCTAGGGGGGGGGAATGTGGCGACCGGCACCTTTAAGGACACACCTCTCCTGCGTCACGCACGCACACCAATGGGATGAATGGCTGCTTAAAACAAGATGGCGCAAACTCACCAGGTGACGCAACGAGGAAGAGGCTCATACCGTCCCAGTGTCTGCGTTCCAGTCTGTCAATCCCTGGCAGCGTGTAAAGTCCGCCATTTCTTTAGTCTGCCTGCTTACACCATCCGGATTCACCCTTTCATCCCGCCGTTCCACCCATAAACTGCCGTTTCAACGCCCTGGACGACAATTCCCGGGAGCCTGCTGCCGTCTTCTCTGCATCAGAGCACTGTTTGAAGGGGAGGTAACGCTGGTTTGGCTTTCATGTGCAAAGATGCCCTGAAAGTAGGAGGTCTCACTCGTGACACTTTTGGAGAGACTCGTTTTGAATAAACATTGACTGACTGGGGAAGGGGTAAGAAGACTGAGAGAGTGACTCTGGGGTTTGAACTGTGCGGGTTGATATTATTGTTTGCATTGTTGTTGGTTGTTGTTTGCACTTGGGCTTTTGTATAATACACTGCGGGGAAGCTGAATGGTGTTGAGTGTTTTGTGGCTTGCTGCTCATTTTTCTGGGGTACAATTGTTTGATGAGGGAGTTGGAGGCTCTGCCAACTCCTTTGTAGGGTTGCTGGTGTTCAATTAGAGATCCTATTTTTTTTTTGTCAGAATGACCCTCTGACTGGCACACCGGTATTAGACCAGCAACCGCTACATGCTTGCCCAGAGGCGAAATTTCGACGCAACTGCCTGTTTAATTCACATCAAGCGCGATACAATTTTGCAAACAGCCTAAATGATTTAGCTTCTAAAAATAAATAGCACCAAGGCAAAAAAGAGATGTAGGAGCTATAAGTCAAAAAGTCTGGTAACCACTGAAAGTTAATCTTTATTTATAAACTCATTATACTATAAAAGTTTAATCTGTAAAGTAACGACTAAAGCTATAATCTTTTTGTTAGTTTTAATACTAAACATGTTCCTTTGAAACACACATTTCTATTTCTTCATTTTGTGACCGCAACACCAAGCCCCCCGCTCCGGAAAAGATTTCAGATTTCAGGCACACAAATCTTACGTGCTCCACATTTCAGGCACAAATTTTTTCTTGCTTTAACCCCTGTACACAACACGGGAGGAGTCAGCACCATCTGCCTGTAAGGGGAGGAGTCATGGAATGATGGAAGGAGTTTGTTTGTTACCTCAAGGCTGGATTACTGTAACTCTCTATTATCAGGTAGCTCTAGTAAGTCCTTAAAAACTCTTCAGCTAATTCAGAATGCAGCAGCACGTGTACTAACAGGAACTAAGAAACGAGATCATATTTCTCCTGTTTTAGCTTCTCTGCACTGGCTCCCTGTAAAATCCAGAATTGAATTTAAAATCCTACTGTTAACTTATAAAGCTCTCAATGGTCAAGCTCCGTCATATCTTAGAGAGCTCATAGTGCCTTATTATCCCACCAGAACACTGCGCTCTGAGAACGCAGGGTTACTAGTGGTCCCTAAAGTCTCCAAAAAGTAGATCAGGAGCCAGAGCCTTCAGCTATCAGGCTCCTCTCCTGTGGAATCATCTTCCTGTTGCGGTCCGGGAGGCAGACACCGTCTCCACATTTAAGACTAGACTTAAGACTTTCCTCTTTGATAAAGCTTATAGTTAGGGCTGGCTCAGACTTGCCCTGTACCAGCCCCTAGTTAGGCTGACTTAGGCCTAGTCTGCCGGAGGACCCCCCTATAATACACCGGGCACCTTCTCTCCTTCTCTCTCTCTTTCTCTCGCTCTCTCTCTCATGTCCTGTTACTGCATGTCACTAACTCGGCCTCTTCTCCAGAGCCTTTGTGCTCCACTGTCTCTCAGGTTAAAGGAAAACTTCGGTAGTTTTCAACCTGGGCCTTATTTCCCCATGTGTATGTGTGCGTATGATTCATGGGTACAACTTGTTCTAAAATTGGTTCAGTATTGAGGGAGGCGAAGGAGGCGGATGCAACCGGGAGCCGCGAAACGAGCTAAAACGGTAACGGGGGCAAATGCGTCCAGTATAAGTTTGAGCATTAAAAGTGCTTTTTTTCAGATCGCCAGTGCTATGAGTGGAGTCAGCTGTCAGTCAGTGTTGGAGCAGAGAGGGGGAGGGCTGCCCCGCTGGGTACTGTAAGTGAGTATGTGTGTATGAAGT